CTAGATATAAATTTAAAATTTACATAAAAATCAATGTTTTATTTTGTCAGTTCATTGGTTTTTAATATTTTTAAATTTTTTTAAAATTAAAAAAAATTTTTTCGAAAATTAATATCTGCAAATGTCGGGTCTGCAAATATCTCGTCTGCAAGTGTCGTATGACCATCACAACATGTAATATGTTTTTTCAACAAAACTTGTTTGTTGTAGAGTTATGTTTTTGTAAAACTTATCTTTAATGTTTGAAAGTTTGTTTTAGAAAGTTTAATTATTTCTATAAACAATAAAACATAGAGTAAAATAGCTAGTGCTGAGATATGTACTATACAAAATTTAAGTTAAAATATTTTTCAATAAAAATTATTATTTAAATAAAAAAAATTTCAATTAAAAAGAAAAAACTTTTAAAAAATTTACTTATAATAACAGATGTTTTAAATGTTTAAGAAATTAATTTAAAAAAATAAAGAATTTAATAAAACTTAAATAATAAATTTATTCATTTAAACATAATTATTGTTTACATTTACTTTTTAAAAAAATATTTTTTAACGTAAATGTGTATTAAAATGCCAATTATTTTAATTTATTCAGTAAAGGTTAAGATAAGCGCGACCAACTGTTTACCAACAGGCTTTGATCAATTATACCTTTTTTAGACTTATCCCATCCAAGTGAGTTTTATGTCATTTGAAGGCCTCGATAAGTGGAACTTCATTAAAAAGCCACAGTTAAATTTTACTTTTCGTCCGTTTATATGGGATATAGGATAAAAAAATTAGTCATAGTCAACCAAAGCTAACACCTAGGTGTACCGCTTAAATGACACTTTTTGAAAACTTTATGCAATCTTTTATATAAAATAATTAATAAATATTTTATTAAAAAATATTTTGGAGAAAGTATTAAATAAAAATAACTTAAGTAAAAAATATGTAAAACATCAGAATACAAAAATGAAAATCAAAATTATAAAACGGATACAAATAAAAAAATAAATCAGAAGCAAAAAAATACAAGAGAAATCAGAATTATTAAATTAAAGAATTATTTAAATATTTCCAAGTTTTTTAATCATAAAAGCATAATGTAAACAAAGTTTTCGGTTTTTTTCATCCTTTGGATCATACAAACGCATAAAAAGATCGAGAGGAATTGCATGAGGATCTAGATGAGACAATCCAAAAATCTGTTTAAAAATGTGAAAAATTAAATTTTTAAATCGGATTTTTGAAAAAAAATAAAGAATCTTAAATTTAAATTAGAATCTCATACCAGAATCTTAAAAATCATAAGTAATTTTAGAAAAATCGGAATGGTTTTAAGTAGGGTTCCAAATTTACGGGCAGGTGACTCTTTTCATGGGGACGGTGGTTGCGACGGTTTTTGCATTGGTGACGGGGACGGTGCCTCTGGGGAGAAAGCCTCCAACCGTCCCCAGTTAACCACTGTCTCTGGGAACGGTGTTGGAAACCTAGTTTTAAGACGAACATTTTTAATTTAAAAAACCAAAAAGTTTAATTAATATTTTTAAAATCGGAAAATTTCAAAATAAATTATAGAATTTAAAAGTAATTCAATTCTTTCTAAAAATTTATTTTTAATTAATATTAAATAAATAAAAATCCCCACTAAATTGACAGGCATTATAGAAACAAGTCTTCGCCAATATTCTGTTTGAGGTGCCGCTGCTAATTCGTGAATGAAGAAAATAATAAAAGTAACTGGTGGGCGAAGGTTACAATCACGGACAATTCGTTCAAAACGCTTTTTAAAAAATTAAAGGGAAAAAATAATTTTTTAGAAAATTAAGGGAAATGATAAAAAATCCCCTTGAAGAATTATTAAAGAATATGGATAACTCAATGTAATTTTTTAAATAAATTATTTTTCAAATTAAGTCTTAAAATTTAAAACAAAATTAATTTTCTTTTGTTTAATAAACAAAATAACTACCTCAAAAACATTGCTAACAGTTAATTGTGCCTTCAAAGCATCTTTAGGCAAACGTGACGATGTTGTTGTTTCATTCATTGAAGAAGTACAAGTTTCAACAACAGAAGAAGATACATCAACACTCTTTTTAAATTAGAAAAAAATAATAATCTTTAACTTTAAATAATTAATTGGTTTTATTGGTAATTGGTAATTAATTGGTAATAATTAATTGCCACAGCAGCTTGTTTAACCAAATCTACTTTCTATGACTTAGTATGTTTAATTATGGATCTGTGGTAGAGCGAACTTAAGAATGCTTGTCCCTCTTTTAAATTCCAAAAAAAACTTTTAAAAAATCCAAAAAGGAAAATTTTTAATTAAAATTCTCTTTAATTACTTTTTTCTTCTGAATTCCTAAAGCTTCATTTTGTACTTGTTGCTCAGCTGAAGAGGAACTACAAGGTGTCTGGTCCATTTGTTGTTGTCCTTCTTCTTAAGAAAACAATTTTTTCCTAGTTTAAAAATTTTCAACTACCACAAATATTTTCATTTATTTCCATTTGGGATCGTTTTCTAGAAGATGAAGATTGTTCTGAAGGCTGTTGTTGTGTAATAAGCCCAAATTGTTGAATACGTTTTTCCCTTTCCCTTTTTTCCAAAACCTTTTCAATTTTAAAACAATTTTTAAGAGAAAAAATTTTTTTTATCAATTTTACTCTTCTATCTCCAGCCCATAATAATAATTGCATTGCTCGCACAAGCATTTTGGCAATAACTGTAGCCTTTGTAGATAATTGACCGACAACTGGGTGTCTTTTAACCTGTAAGCGAAAAATGTTCATATTTCCGCATAAACATATGAACATTGGGAAAAACATTTGTTTTTGTGTTTTTCCCATAAAACACAAGGGAAAAACATTTGTTTTTAAAGAAGGATTTTAACAAAACAAAGACAAAAACAAATGTTTTTTTAAAAACATTACTGCAGGTTGCTGTTGCAATGAATGTTTTTGTTGTTGTTCTAGCCCAGATAAAGAATGTTTTTGTTGTGTTGGAATGTTTGTTTGTTGTTTTTGTTGGTTTGTTGTTAAATGTTTTTGTTCTTCCAAAGAATGTTCGTTTGAATTAATAGTTGAAGAAACAGCGGAAACAATGTTTGGGACAAAGGCGGAATGGATATTTGGTTGTAATGCTATTGTTGTTGAAGAGGTAGATGTTGTTGCGCGTTCAAACAAAATACATTCCACTAACTGGGAAAACATTCAAAATTAATTCCCTTCGCTATTTTCCACCTGTTTAATCATTTCACACAAACACGGGACTGGATAGGTTATTGTTGCCGCTAAACACAATTCAGAGGCTAATTCACTTTCATCAACAGTTACGATTCTTTGATGATTCATCATTTGACGCATCCAACATTGTAACCAAATGTCCATTCGACCTAATATTTTTTGAATGAAGCTTGATAGAATATAGTAAATTAGATATTGGTCTAAATCAGAAATATAACCCGCCTTAAGGGGGTTTCAGTTATATAGAACAACGGATATAAGGTAGGCAATATATAAATTTGAGGCATCCTTCCTTATAATTGGAGACAAGTTAAAGTGGATTTAATTGATATAAGTAGGGTTGTCAGTTGCCTGGAAAATTTTCGAATATCAGGGACCGAACCGAAAAATCCACGATCCTTCGGTCCGGTTCCGAACCGACGACGCTAGCTATAAAGAAACTAATTAAGAATATAAAAGGTACAGGATTCATTGCAACGGTTGATATGTGCAATAGCATCGGGTGTTGCCCAACTCTGTTGATTTGCGCAGAGGAAAACCTTAAAAAATTCAGAATTAATTTTTTAAATAATTATTTGCCTCCTTCAATCTCTGATTTTCTTCGTTAATTTCCTCAGGGCTAGCCCTTAAAAGACTCATTTTTCTTCCAAAAGGTAATGCAGGTAATGGACGTTGAGCAAATCCAACAAGCCAAGTATATGGATGTTCTTTTTTAATTCTTTGATCAACTATTTGACGAAGAAGACGGCGAGCAATTAAAATTGAATAGCTTAGACTTTGAAGGCTTGAAAAATCATTAAAATTAAAAACTTTTTAGTTAGCGCAAGAGAGTGGAAAACCAAAAGAAGGTCAGTTAAACACAAGGTATTTACTGATTGGAAATAAAGTCGGTCGGTAATAGAAATTCTGTCGAAATAAAAAAATAAATTCCTAAATTTTGGTAATTTCCGAAATGGCAGGATCCTTGGTCTGTAATCTGATAAGGATGCAAATAACATCTTATGGGTCTAAGAGTGGGATATGTATTGCTTTGCACCTTAAGAATCTGCAATTTTCCAACCCCCGAATAAATTAAAGGAATAAAAATTTAATTTTTCAATAGACAGCTCCAAAAAACTTATGTCAAATGCCTTAGCAAACGCTTAAATTTCTATCACTCGGATTAGTCACTCCCCTTGATTAATTATCCCCTCCTCTCCCTCTCTCCTCCGCATCAAAAAAAGGTTGAAGAAATAATTACTAGCCATAAATTATTCACCGTTCTCCATTATCTTTATTGTCCTTTTCGGAAGCCGTTTTTTGCTGTTGAAGTTTAACTTCAAATTCTCTCATTGATCTAGCCATTGCTTGACGAGGAGTATTTCCAATAGTTGGTTGTTGTGCATCTAACCATTGAACAAGACAAAGCCACAAACAACTCATTTGACTGAATGTCCAAAATATGTTATTTATTTCATTTGAATTTGGAGAACCACGTGAAAACTGTTATTTTAAAAAAATTTTAAATTATTTCACTGAAATATCTATTAAGCTATAAATTAAGCCATGGATGAAAAATTTTCCTATTTTATTTAGCTTGTCTTAAAGTGAATTCTTATGCTCCTACTTCATTTTTAAAAGTATTCATTTGAAAATAACGGGCAACTCACTGCCGTGAAAAATTACAAATTCCCGATTTTCAGGAATTTTTGGAAAATTTCTGCATTATTGTTATCCATTGGAGGGGATGCTAAAGACAGGAACAGAAAAGGATTTTACTACATCTTTTTAAAATATTATCACATAAAAATCATTTTTCACCTCTTCCAATAAAAGTTCACCAATTAAAGGGACAGTTTCTATCGTATTGCCAAAATCATTATTTTCCGCTAACCAAAAAGGTTGTTTTTGTGAGCGCATTGCTTGGAATTGGTTACGTTGAAAATTTGAACGGAACTTGAAAATTAAGAAAAAATAAAATAAATTTTTCCAAAAATACAGAGGAATCTGTAGAATCCTCATTTGAAGGCCCCCCTCCTGTCTGTGAAGATAAAACAAAACACATCGATTCACTTTCCTCAATACATTTCTGATAACGTTGTGTCCAACGATAAAATGCGCAGTGTAAACGTCCACCAACTAATTCTTCCAAACGCTAAACAAATTAATTTAATTATCTCAGAATCCTCCAATTAGTACCATATCAGCAAATACATGTTGTATACGTGCCATTAATAAAAATGTTGAATCAAAAATTAACAATCTCCCTTGGGCATTAGTTGTTGCCCCGCTAACATTTTCCCCAGTAATAGGTTGTTGTGCCTGGGCATTTAATGCTGCTAATTTTGAAGAGAATAGAGACAACTCTCCACATGCACAATAAATAGAACAGAGCATATCAATGGGAATTTCACCTTAGATTTTGGTTAGAATAAATAGAAAATACTAATTAATATTTATGAAAAGTTAAATGCTAATTTGTGTATTTTCCGGAAACATTTATGTATCTTCTGGAAAAAATCTAATAAAGAATCAAAATTCTGATTGTCCCGGAAATTTATAATTAGGTTTACGGGTGTACGGCCCGCGCGGCCATAAAGGCGTATAACTTGCTTCAGTCTTTCCGAATCCTATCATATTTAGTATTAAACGATTCCTCTCTCGAGCTAAAGAGATTAGTACCAAAATTGATAAGGATCAGAAATTTTCCAGCTAGTTATGGCTTTGCGCCTACTTGGCCGCGCGCTATCCCAGGTTTCCGGAATATATTTAAATTATTTTTATTTTCCGTATAATTAATTCTAAAAATTCCGGAAAATACTACAAATTCTAATGTTTTACCCACCTAAAGACAAAAGCCTTCTTAAAAGCCTTTCTGTATTTTCAGGTACAAGCGTGTCAATCCCTCTCTTCGCTTTTTGCACCCTCGAAATAAGTTCAGAGCGAACAATCATTTGGCGCTCACCAGCAGGTAATTCTTCGTTTTGTGAACGTTTTAAATCTCTTTAAATTAATTTTTCTTTAAATTCATTTAATTTTCTTCACCTTTTTTTAGTTAAAAATTCGTGTTCTTTTGAATTAACAACATCCGCCTTTTTCAATCCGTCCAAAAAGAAACGAAAAACATTATCCGATTTTTTATCATCTACTTGATCTAATAGAGAATCACAATTACAAATATTTTCTAAAGCTTTGGAAATTGTTTGGCGTTGAATTCCTCTTAAAATTTGGGGGAAAATTAATTTTTATTATTTCAAAAAAAATAAAAAAAATTTTTTTTGAGTAAACTAGCCTTTGAATTAAACATTTTAGAACCTAAAATAATTTTTCAAAAATATTCAAAAAAAAATTTTTAAAAAATTTTTGCCTGTGGCAATTTAATAAAAACAAAAACGTCGGCCAACGCCTCACGTTCACGTTGTTCTGAACAAATATTGGAAGTTTCTAACTGAAAATAAAAATTAAGGGAAAAATATTCAAAGAAATAGATGCCTGGATTAGAAAACCAGCACGAAGCAAATCTTCAACAATTTGTTCATGTTCCATCCCTAATATATTACCAACAGTTAAAAATGTATCGGCTACCTAATAAAAATAGCATTAAAAAATAAAATTAATATTCCAGGAAAATGTAACAATTCTGGGAAAAAATTAGAAACTTAAGTCTCCAGAATATAAAAATATTAAAACACATTATTGTTTCCCTAGAAAAATCAAATTTATTTCTTGAAAAATTTAAAGTATCCGAAAAATAGATGTCATATAGATAAGATATATCTAGTATTCATACATTTTGAATAATATCCCAAAAACTCGAAATATTTTCAAAAAATACAATAATTCTGAAAAAAAAATACTCGAAAAGAAAATCAGAAAGTCTAAAACACATTATAGGTGTTCCAGTATGAAATCGGAAATTATTTACAGGAAAAATTACTCCTCCCGGAAAATAGAAAAAATACAGAAGGAAAATAATTAACTTAAGTTTCCGAAAAATCAAATTTTAATTTATTTTCACCTCATCTGCAATTTTAATAACTCTAAAAATTGCAAAAATAGAGCCTAAAGAGAGGAGTGCCGGTCTGTATTTTCTATGAATAAAATCTTCTCTACAAGGTTGCCAATTAGATTTTGGTGGAGTTGAAAATCTCAAAAATACAAAAAAATAAATTTTAAAAATTATTTAAAATTACAAAGGAAATAATTCAATAAGTTGGTCAATTAATTTTAAAAAATTTGAAAGCTTTGAGGAAAACGAGGGTTCTAAAAAGAAGAAAAATTAAAAAAATTATTTTTCAATTCACCTTTAATTTTCTCTTCCTTTTCTTCATCAACCTCCATTTCATCTTCTTTTGAGGTTGACTCCTTTTTTTCATTTAATTCATTTAAATGGTTGGTAATTTTATTTGAAATTATTTGAAGTTTATTAATATTGTTATTGATAGAGGAATTATCTGAAAAATCAGAATTTTAATTTTAAAAATCAGAATATCAAAATTAAATTTTTTTTAAATTAGAATTAAATTTTTAAATTCTGAAATAGAATCAGAATAATTTTAAAATATCAGAAATATCATAAATCAGAATTTTGTCTATAAAATCAGAATTAAATTTTAAAACCTAGAAATGTCAGAAAATCAGAATTTTGTCTAAAAAACCAGAATTAAATCAACATTTAATTTTTAAAAATCAGAATAAAATCAAAATTTTGCTTAATAAAATCAGAATAAAATCAGAATTTTAATTTTTCTAATCAGAATATAATTTTCCCTCACCAGAATGTTCACTGAGAAACGTAAAAATTATAAGTGCTGTAAACGGACGTTCATGCAGATGTTTAATAGCATTAATTCTATTGATAAAAACAAGAGAAAATTCATCAAAATTATTTTCATTCTAACAAAAATAATTAAAAATTATTTTTTTTAAATTAAGTCTAACAATTAATTCAACAATTTTTTCTATTGAATAAATATACCAATCCAATATTTGGGTAATTTGGGTAAATAAAACATTGCTGTTACCCTCATAGACGGCTATTCTGTTGAAATTAAAGTTTTTTTAGTTTTGTTTTTAAAAAATATTTTTTTAATTACAGTCAAAACTCATTTTTAAAATACCATGTTAGAGCTAAAAAGTGGATAACTGACATCCGAAATCGTTAAACTGATATCCGAAACCGTAAACTGACAATCGAGCCAAAAATTCCCGAATACTTTCTCCGGTTGAGGATAATGAAACCGCCAACCCTAAATGGGCGTATCTTAAATGGAAGGTATTTATTAATGTAAAAAATATCTCAAATATATCTTAACTGTTTGGCATGCCCCTTCCTTCTCCAATAAGGTTGGCGGATCCGGATCAGGAATGAGCGCAAGAGACAATCTCAAAAGACGCAAAAAGCAATGCGCTTACCCCTAATCCAGGTATCCGGATTCAAAAAGTTTTTTTTCGTTTCGGATACGGGATATCCAAAAATTTCCAACTATTCGCCAACCTTACTCTCCAACGACTAACCAAATTCATAAAAAAGTATTTTAAATTGGAATAAATTTAAAAAGTGAGGTTTGACTGTATTTAAAATTATCTTAATTTTTCCTCCAACCGTTTATTGTAAATATAAGATTCTAAATCAGAAGCAATTTCTTCTATTTTAATGGGATGAGTCCAACAATCAAAAGTTGTCTTAAAAAATTTTTTTTAATTTTTAAAAATAATTTTTAAAATTACAAGAATTGTTAAATATTTTTGTGGTTGAATTAATCCATGAACAAACAAAATTTTTAAATAAGCAAGTGCCAATGGAAAAATATCAGTTTCTTCGGGAAATGCAGAAGCGTAATTGTTAGCGATTTGTAGAACACGTTCTTAAAAATTTTTTTGAAATTTTATTTTTTAAACAGAGTTATTCAGAATGAGTCGATCTTCCCATAACATGTATACTCCATACTAAACACACCTCCACTCCAATTGAAGGACCTTTAAAAAATGGTTGGTCATAGAGTTGGGAGTGGAGGAGGGATCCTCCCAAGCAGTACTTCCTAAGAGACCCTTCTTACTAGAGAGGTGTCTTTTATAAAATTTCCCACAAAAGAGGACCTTACAATGAGGTATGAATAAAATTTCCTTGAAATTTTTCCATAATCTACAGGTGTCTAAAATAATCTGAGAGGTGTCTAAATAAACTTACCCTCCAATTGAAGGACCTTTAAAAAATGGCTGGTCAGAGTTAGGAGTGGATGAGGGACCCTCCCAAGCAGTACTCCCTCTTTAAGAGGCACTTCCTTATTAGAGAGGTGTCTTTTATAAAATTTCTCCCAAACCTTACAATGAGTTATGAGTAAAATTTTCTTTAAATTTCTAAAAAGAACCCGGAAACTGCCCATTTTCTTCTATAATCATTCGACATGCTTCCTCAAAGAATTCATTAGGCTCTAAACGTTGGGAAAGACAATTACGAAGGAGAGCATCTAATTGTTGTGAATTATTTGTAGTGGAGGAAACAACCATTTTAGAAAACTATAATTTCTAGAATTAATCTAAAATTAGATTTTTAAAAATAAAAAAAGTAATTAAATTTAAAATTAAATGGAAAAATAACAAGAAAAACTTTTTTTTTCAATTTTTATCGAAAAATCTGGAGAGGAGGGACAATACAAAAAAAAGTCGGGTAGTTTGATAAATAAATAAATATTGAGGGGGTCAAAAAAACAACAAAAATGAAATTAGGAGACAGTTTGATAAAGGAATAAATTTCAAAGAAAGAAAATTTTTAAAGAAAGTTTTTTGAGAAAGGCAGAATTTCTTAAAATTATTTAAAAAATATTTACAGTTCAATCTGATTGTTAAATACCACGGAGGGTGAAACGGTCGTCTTTGTAATTAGGGATATTTTAAATTGAGGACTTGAAGCCCTATAACTTTTTAATTTAGGGGTCAGGGCAAAAAAGCCAAAAATTGGCAACAGTAAATCGACCTTGCTCTACACAATGGTGTGTGTTACATTGTAAAATTTTTGGTGATAATTCGGCATGGTTCCCTGTTAGAAATTTCCCCTACTTCATGACTAACTAAATTAAAAAAAAAAATATTTTTAAATTAATGGTCTTTTTATTATTTGGTATATGTTTTGAGGTCCAAATTTCAAAGAAAAAATAGTATTTTCAAAAAAATTCTGCCTTCCTCAACAATTATTTTTCAAAAAATTATGCACGCAAAAATAACAAATTTTATATTACCCATTCAAATGCACATTTATTTTTAAACCAAAATTATTTTTAATTTCAATTTTCCCCCTTTCTTGCACGTGCCAAAACTTCAAGTGAATGCCACAAAGTTCCATGATTTGTAAAAAATTCACTAGAATTTAATAAAGATATTTTATTACGGAATGGTTCCATTGACGAGAAAAAATTTGCTCGGGCAGAGTTGACGATTAATTCCAAAATTCGTGATTGAGCAATTATAGATAATGAATCGATACTTAAAAATAAGGGAAATTAATTTTAAAATAGAAAATAAAGGAAAATAATTTAAAAATTTTTAAAAATATTTTTAAAAAAAGCTTATGTTTAATGTTCTCACGAAGGAAAAAATTTCAAAAAATTTTTAAAAATAAACAAAACATTATGGAGTCGGACCATCATAATAATACCTTCATGTGCACCAGGAAAAGGTTTATTACTAGTGTTTCGCCGGAACCGAAAATTTGGCCAGAACAGGAACTGAAGGGCCTGAACCGGAACCAAAAAATCCCAGAACTTCCGGCCTACCGGAACCGAAACCTTCAGCAAAACACTATTTAGTACCGATTGACAAAATCGGGAATTTATTTTTCATTCATTCACGTTCCCTGATTTACCCCAAACAATTAATTATAGAATAATAAGTAAAAACTTTTTTCTCAAACCTTTGAAATATTTCAGGCAAACAATTAACTATAGGCTGTTGAAATGTTTGTTGTGAATTATTTGGAGTGGCGAGTTGTGGACGTTTTTGTTGCTTTAAAAAATTAATTTTTATTTCAAAAATAATTTAAAAAATACTTGTGTAGGTGTAAATCCATACCTCCAAGCAGTTATTATTTTTATTAAGATATAATGTAATCTATAATGGTTATCATCGTTCTCTTTTGAGGCTATAGGAGAGCAATCATAACGAACAAGTAAATCAAATTTCTTTAAAAAAATTTTAAAAATATTTTTAGGTTTTATAAGTGGGGTGTTAATAAAAATTGTGGACATTTGAAGAATAAAATTATTCAAAAGTTAGACATCTTAAATTGGATGACCCATCTCATTTTGGATGATCCATCCATCTCTTTTTCTAAATTCACTTGTCAAATTTATTTACAACAATTATTCTCTATACAGCCCTCACAATTAGAATACCCCCTATATTAGATAAACCTCAGATTTTTGATTTGGTATGTCACTGGGTGTGTGTAGGGGAGTGAAGAGTTTCCAAACTCATAACCCTCTTTAGGACTTTCTCATTATAAAATATAATCTTTTAACCACAAGTGTTTATCTTATATAGGGTTGGGGGCCCGGTCCGGTCCAAAAGATCAAGTCGTGCAATGAAGTTGGGCCCGAAAAAGCCCTCGCCGAAGAAGCCCCCCCCCCCCCGGTCCAGCCGGCCCGATAAAAATGAAGCCCGAAAAAATGACTAGAACGTTGGCCCTACTCGAAAACGGCAACTCTACCCTTATAAAGAGATCAGAATAAATAATACTCAAAAATTGCTTTTAAATTTTACCTGCCCACAAAAAGGAAGACTCAAATGCGTACAAAAACTTAAATAACGCAAAAATTGATCAACACGGTGACATAACCATTCACCAATAATTAAAGCCATAACTGGACCTAACGTTTCTTTGCTTATTGCAAAGACGATAAAGTTAGCACAAAATTCAAAAGAATAATTAACAATTGGGAGTAAATGTTCGTACTGAAAAAATAAAAATTTTTAAAATTTTAGGGATTAAATGAGTTGGGGAGTTGCCTAATAAGCGATACCATCAATTTGAGATACAACTCATTATGAATTACAGAGTCTGTTCGTACAGAAAAAAGAAAAGATTAAGCTAAAAATTAAAAAATTTTGGGATTAAATGTCACTAAATTAGCGGGGAATTGCCTAACAATGAGCGACTTTTTCAGTCTAAATAAAATATCATACCAAATTATATTTTTCGGGACCAAAAATAAAACCTTCCACCAATTCAGAAACAATTTGTTCAGCATAACTACGTTTTAATTCATCACTGGTTACCTTGAATGAAATGGTAAATAATTTTTTAATTTAAATAATTTTTTTGATTTTCAGTTACAAGAGACCATACTACCAAACTTTTGCCAAAAAAAACTTTGGAGGGCCATATCCTAGCCAGATCAAAAAACGGGCAAAAACGGCACAAAATCCTTGCTAGAAAAAGCACATTCTCTATCGAATGAGACCGGTCTCGACAGTCTTTAGGTCGGACACCTTGCAACCTTCCCTTGTAAAGGACTTGTCTTACTATTCTAAAGTGTCAACTCTTCATTTTATAATTAAGAATGGTCTCTCCTAATTTTATGACTAAAAATCTAAATTAAAAATTTCTTTAAAAAATACTTTTCCAAGCCATTGGCCAACATGGTCAAACAATCCATACACAGGAAATTGGGCAGCTAGTGAACAAATTTTGATCAGAAATTGAACACGAGCTTCGTGAAGTAAAGGCTATAAAAAAGGAGGGAATAATAAAAATAATTTTCGAAAAATAAAACCTCTCCCTCACGACCACAAAAAATAATATCAAAATGTAAATAACGAAGTTTTGGATCGGCTTCTTTTGAGACTTCCTGAATAAATTTGAATAAGAGTGGAATATAAATTTATAAAAATCACAAGGAAGTAATAAAGGGAAAACGAAAGGAATCGAACTGACGTCTCCGATATGTCATCAAGAGCAGGCCAATTTACCACAAAACAGGCCCATAACCAGGATTTTTCAGAGAAGGGGGCCAAGAAGGGGAAATTTTTCTGCGCCGAATTTTTGGCGTCGAAAGCCCAGAAATTTTGATTTTTGTCGCCGAGTCGAAAATTTTAAAAAATTTGGAAGGCCGTAGGTAATCTTTCTCACTAAAACCTCCCTCAAATAAAAATTAAAAAACAACCTTATCAAAATAATTACAAACAATTCCCAACAATTTAAAACTTTGTAAAGGATTGAGACGAGAATTTCTCAAGTCTGTAGACAAACAAAAAAGATCTTGATCCAACAAATTTTGTAATTCTTTTATTTTTACACGATTCCAGCTTTTATTTGGAAATTGGCCGTGTTGTTTGACAAAATCGCCGACCTAAAAATGAAATTGAAAATCCTCAAAACTATTAGAAAGAGCTCTTAAAGTTGAGTCAAACACAACAAAAAATAAGAGAAAATCAAAATTCAATGACCAATTTATCCAAACAAAAACAGGGAATTTTCAAGTTTATAGGTCCTATATTTATGGGTCCAAAAAAAGAGAAAAAACATGAAATCTCTACATAATATACAAAAAGGATGAGATTTCAGGTACTCAACTCATACAAAGCCCTTTCAAATGAGTTAATATTTAATAATAAAAAATACATGAACAAGAACATCATTTGCACACTGCGGAAAAATAGCCTGTTTATTCCCAGGAGGTATTTGTTGCTGCGGTTGTTGTTGAGGAATAGAAGGACCAGGAGGAATTTGTTTAGGATGTGGCAAACGCTGTTAAAGATTTAAGATTTAAAAAATAAAAAGAAAATAACAAATGTAGGGGAAAGTATAATAAATTATATAGTAGGGGAAATTTTTTTAAAAACCCCCAAGATTTAAAGAATAATAAGTCGTCAAGGCCCTCAAGTAAAATATCAAAAAAACATCCGCTCAAAAACAGATGGTTTTCAAACAATAAGCTTCGAAAGTTTGACAATTCGTAATATGAATTTCACAGGATTCACGAACCCTATTTCTGAGCAGGACCAAAGTTGATCAAAAACATAGGTTCCCTTCTCGGAAGCGAAAATTAGCTAAATTATCAATTCATTGGACTTTCTCAAATTTATTTAAAAAAATTTAAATTATTCTAAAAAATTTTTCCTACAAATACCCCCATAATTTCCAAAAAATATTCAAAAAAAATACATGTTGAACTTGCCCAACCCCTCTATGTTGTTGTTGATGCTGCAAATGATGTCTCGGTTGATGCATTAAATGAGGCCTTTTCATTGGAGGTCTACCAGAATTATTTGAATTATTTCCGTGCATATTTTGACAATTTGAAAGTGGTGGAGGTTGAAAAAGTTGAGAATTCAAAGGCTTTGGCTGATTATTTTGAAAGAAACATTTTTGCTGAAAAAATAAATGAAAAAATAAAAAATCGGTAATGAAATCCCTAAGGCTCTATTTCAGATAGGGCTTAATTCAAAGAGGTCTAATTTAGTAAATACCGTCATTTACTGGGGACACGCCCAAAACGGCGCTCGGCCATAACGGCGTAAAGCCATAGCTTGCTTCAAAATAACTAATTTTAATAGATTTAGTATCAAACGATTCCTCTGATCAAACTATGTAGGTAATTTGTACCAAAATTGACAAGGGCCAGACATTTTTCAGCAAGTTATGGCTTTACGCCGTTATGACCGCGCACCGTTTTGGGCTGTACTCCATCTACTGGCCATAAGATCAAAAAAGAAAAACCTGAAAACTCGGTTGTTGAAACAAAACTTGTTTTGTGTTTGTAGAAGCACAAATTTGTTTGGCAATATTTTCTTGACTTAAAGAAGCCAGGGAATCGATCTTTTGGTTTTGTTGTTTATTCAGATTTAATTCAATATTATTAATTGATGGAAGCAAAATTTCATCCAGTTTAATTTCTTCTAATTTTTGTTGCGCCTCAATGACTTTTGGTTTTTCTTCAATATGATATTTGTATCTTTTTCGTTTTTTAAATTTTGAGGGTCGGCTAGTTGTTGGAGAATTAGAGTTACTAGCAAGTCTGAAAAAAATTTTTTTTAATCATAAAAAATTTTTTAAAAATTTTTTTGAAAAAAACACAACGCCAAAAAATATTTTTTTGAGAAAAATCGAAGGATAGAGTAAAGGAAAAGAATAAAAATTATTTCAACATTTTTACAATAACCAAAAATTTATTTTTGTAAATTTTATTAATGTAAATTCCGATACATATTTTTAGAAAATAAAATAATGAATTAAAATTAAAAAAAGATTACTTTCGAAACAAAAGAAAGTTAAAAACTTCTTTCCGAGGCATTTTAAGACCAAAAAAAATTCTGATTTTTCATAAAACAAATTTCTGATATTTCTAAAAATTCTAATCCTTTCTGAGTGGACAATTTCGAATAAATCAGAAAATATTCCGGAGAAACCAGGGTTCCCCTAATTTTCTTCCCAGTTTTTTCCTTATTTTGTACAGAATGGTCAGACTCTCTTCCTCAATTTCTCTTCATTTCCCCGTGGCATATTCAATAAAGAAAAGATTAAATTAATGAGGGAAGAGAGGCTGGCTATTCTTCACAAAATAAGGAAAAACCTTGAAACTTGGGGAATAAAAAAAGTGGAACCCTTAGTCTACCCAATATTCTGAAAAAATCTAAAGAAAATTCTGACTTTACAAATACATTTCTAAAAATCTCTAGTTTACTTTCAAAAATAATATTTACTTTTCTTATTTTTAATTAGACAAATAAAAAAATATTTTTTCTAACCTCTCACTTTCCATTTCCATCAAACGCTTTCTAGCAGCATAACTCCTCGTATTTGGCATTTAAAGTTTTCTACTAATCTAAAAATTAATTTTAAAAATAAAAATATTTTTTTTAATTATTTAAAGCGAGGTTTCATTTTAAAAATTAACTAAAAAATTTCTTTTCAATGCCTATAAACTAAACAAAAAGTTGGAAATGATGAAGTGATGTTTGTGATCTTCTCAATATATTTTTTGGAATCCTCAAATGCAGGTCTTCAAAATTTTTAATTCGTTACAAAAAGAAACAAACATCGACCGACCCTACAATAGATCAAACATTGAAAATTTTCTTAAAAAATTAGATTCATCCAATCCAATTTTAAAAGGAAACAAAGGTATGTTACTAGATTTTATAGGAAATTGCTGGATAATTTTTCGACCTTCGTTAAGTAAACCGCCACATGTTAAAGTTTTCTAATAGCAAATAAAATTACAAAAGTCCATCCAACTTTTCAAAATTCTGATTACCTAGTCAATTTCTTATTGCCAATTTTAAACAAAAATTGGCAATAGGAAATTGACTAACATAAGTAATTTTTTCGGTTTCCTATTGCTTTTTGCCAATTTTAAACAGAAAACTGGCAAAAAGAAGCAATAGGAAATTGAAAAAACTTTTTAAAGATTATTTAAAAATCAATTTTAAAAAATTGTCTTAATTTAAAAAATAAAAGGTTAAAATAACCATAAAAATTGATTTAAAATAATAAACAAAAATACCTCACATTTATTCTTAATAATTAAAAAAATTAGGATAAAATTCGGAGAAAAATAAAATAATAAACGGTGTTTGTGTGTGTGTGCAGATTCTAAGGATAACAATCAAAAAAAATAATAGTTGGTACTTTTAGGAGGGTGTGTATTAGAGATCGGTATTTTCAAGAAGTCTGGATCTGGATTTAGGTTAGTAACCTGGACAGGATTCTGGATCCAGAGAAAATCCAGGACGACAAAAATGCCTGGATCTGGACTCTGGATTCAGACCGATCTCTAGCGAGTATATATTTTCTAAAAAAAATTTTTCAAGATCATTATAGAAGGAGATCGTCAAAAAAGTCGGAAACCCTAAAAACAAACGTATCTTTTTCTGACCAAAAGTCAACTCTCTTACTTGTACCAACCAAAAATAGTCAAACATATTTTTTAAATTATGTATCAAATATTTATTTTTAGAATTGAATCATCCACCACCTCCTCCACTACTACCACCATTATTACCTCCACTTACTCCGCTATTACTACTTCCATCAAATCCTCCACCACTACTTCCACCACCTCTCCATCCACCTCTATTAACAAAACCTCTTCCTCCGCCTCTTCCCCTTCCAGGAAATCTACCACCACCGCCAGGAAATCTACCTCCATGAAATGGTCCTCTAAATCTTTGTTGATTAAATCGAATTTGTTGATTTGGTGGATTCAACATATGTGGAGGTGGCATTTGAATTGCCTATAGAATTACAAGGGTATTTTAATAATTAAAAAAAATTTCAAACCTGATTTGGAAATACTGGAGGAAATTGTGTAGTTGTTGTACTTAATGGATTACTATTATTATTGTTTTCATTATTATTAGATGGTGTAGAATCTGTTGCTGTATTTTGTTGAGGAAGATTTTGGTTATTTGCTTGCTGTTGTTGTTGAAATGCCATTAAACCTGAAGCAGCTGCAGCCATTTGAGGAAACATTGCAGCGGTTAAAGCAGCAGGCTAATTATATTTAAAAATAAATTTTTTGATTAAAAAGGGAAACTAAAATTCATGAAAAGAAAAAAAATTAATAAAAATAAAGATATACTTGCGGACTGAAATTTGGGGATACTTATCTTTTTTGATTTATGGACTATTTACTTGTGAAAAGTTATAAATAGATATCATAAAACTGGACATGACTCAATGACCGTCAAATTTCAATACTGTCTTACTTATTGTTAGTTTTATCCACAAATATCGGTCCGCAAATGTAAGTGAACCTCAAAAATATGGGTTTTTCGAAAACCGGAAAGAAAACCTGCGATAATTAAAAATTAAAAAAAATAATTTTTAAAGGTGCTAACTAAAAAATGGCTTCGAAAAATAAAAAAATGCATATGGAGATTACCTCAAATAAAAGGTAAGAAAAATTAAAAAGGTTAACTAATTTTAAGTAATTAAAAATTTTTTTACCAAAATAAAATTCAATGTTTACTTTAAAAACTTTAAAAAACATACAAAAGTAAAACCAGGCATTAATTGCGCAGCTGTAGCAGGTAATCCAGCTGCCATCTGTGGAGGCAATAGTGTTAAACCTGCTGGTGGCAATTGAATTGCTTGTAATTGTTGTTGTACTTGTTTAATTCCAGTGTTTGTATAACGATCTTAAAATTTAAAAAAATTTAAAACGTAAAAATACCACTACTACAATCAATTAAGAGGTAAGAAAAAAGAAAGGAAGATGTCCCTTCGATGCTTTTCCCGGCTTTAAAAAATTTACTGATCCCACACAGTCATTTTCTGACAGTTCAGATTGTGATGGAGGTGTTTACTGGAAAACACTGTCCCCTTTTTTCTATTAAAAAAACTCAGGAAATGGACCAAAAACCAAAACTCTCGCCTAATTAATATCAAAAAATAAAACAAAAACCTTTCAATAATTCAGGCAAAGTATATAATTCTAACCAAGCTCCTTCCATTAATTTATCCAAATTTCCATCAGGCAAAATTGAAAAAGGAATTTCAGCAAAACCAAGTTCACAATCCCATTTATCCATAAATTTTTGTTCTTCTTTAATGCTTGGAATTGTTGCCCAAGCAAGCTTTAGAAAAAATTTTTATTAAATAAAATCAAATAAAAAACCTTTATATTCTTCTTCAAAACTTGAATTGTCTTCCCCATTCTATCAATAATTTTAAAAGCCAATTTTCTATCAGGCATTGTCACATAAGCACAACCACGTGTATTAACAATGATTATTTTTTCTGGTGTTCCAATTTCTTTTACAGATTCAATAATATCATTTTCATTAGCTGATGTAGGAATACGGCCAAACCATAAAGTTCGAGATGCAACTAACAAAATAAGTTTTTCAAGAAAATTAATTTTTTTATTAAATTTTTAAATATTGTTTCAGTTAAGGTTATTTTTTAAAGTGAAGGTTATTGTTTCACATGGATTCTTAACTAGTAGATACATATATTGGGGAATATTATGGAAAATCACTATAACCCGCAATAAATCCCTATTCACAGTTAATCCCTTCCCCTCGAAAACTATTCATTTTTAAAGCGGACTAAACTCATCGAGTCTTTTTTATTAAAATAAAAATCCTTACTGAGAACGTGTTCAAATTTCAGTTTTTCGGGTAATCCCATACGTCTACGATCTCTCATCATTTGTTCACGATCCTTTTCTTTGTCGCTATTGCGTTCACGATCATCTGAAAAATATTGCTTTTTAAATAAATTCAGAAAAAATACTTTTTCTTGGTGATGTGCTTCGAGTTCTTTTATGTGAGGATCTTTCAGATCTTTCATCATTCTCTCGTCTTCGATGAGATGATGATTTTTCGTCATGTCGTGTTGAATCATTATCACGTCTAGAACTGCGACTTTTTTCATCAACTGGTGACCTGTTTAAAAATTTAAAAAATTAGTTATTCATCCTTGTGTTATCCCCAAGTATACTCTATCTTTAGTCTAATCATTAAACCCCTTCCCTATTCCCTTACCATCGACTCCGTTTCCGTGAAGACCCACTAGCGCGGCTGTCCCTTCTGTCACCTCTAGAATAATCGTTTCGATCATTGCGGTAGTTTTCAGCTTCTTTTCTATCGTCCCGGTGCGTTTGTTGTTGTTGTTGTGGAAATTGCTGCGTTGACATCGGAAACATTGAAGTCGGTGTAGTTAGCTGAAAATTGGCAATAGACGAAGTTGGAGGCTTTAAAAAAAATTCTAAATAAAAATATTTTTATAAAACCTGGAGGAATAAACCAGGAAAAAGAGTTCCGTTTGAAAAGCTTGGCGGTGGAAAAGAAAAGTTAGGCATTGGAAAAGTCAATGGTTGTTGTAGTTGTAGTTGAGGAGTGGCCATTTTTGCAGCCGGTGAACCAATGCCAACATCTTTATTTACACAAGCCACCAATTTTCTCATTTCTTAAAAAATTATTTTTCAGATTTGACAAAAACAAAAAATAATTTTATAAAATAATTAGTATACTTGAAAGAATTTTTTAAATCCTTTTAAAAATTTAAATAGAAAAGTCGACCCGTAATCCGTGGACTGTTTTAAAGTGTGTAAATAAAAAGGATTAACTCATAAAACCCCAAAACAAATATGAGGGACACTCACAAAATGTGAGAAAATCTATTGTCAATATTTAACCCAGACCTCGAGAATAAAAAGTTATAATGTTCAAGGTTTTAGCTCTACTTAGAGTTAGTGAATGTCACTTGCTAATAATAAAAATAAAAAGGAAAAACCTTCTTGATGTGCCGGTTCAGCAACCACTGATCTTGCAAGATTTAAAAGTTTTTCTTTAGAAACACTTGAAAGGGTTATGGGTGACCCTGTCGATGTGTGTGTACCATTGTGATGGTGACCACCTCCACCGCCTTCATCTTCTTCATCGGAATAGTCAAAATCGCGAGAAAGGAGATTCTTTAAAATGAAGAAAATTTTTTATTCAAAAAATCCATTTTTAGTAGAAATACAAAAAACTAATCCATGTGAGAAAAATCGAAAATGTTTTAACTGTTTTGGAAATTTCTAAAAAATATTATAAGAAAGGATAACCTTGGCCTTAAGCTCTAAAGTAGATAGAAATAGTTAAGGAATCCTAATTTTTGAGTAAAATCCGTTAAATGTTTGACCATCCTTAGTTCAAAAAGATCCTTTTTAAATTCCCAAATTAAAATTTCCAAACCTTAATATTTCCTTGTCTCCTCTTTTCCATTTCAATTTGTTCAATAACTCGTTCTTCCAAAAATCTTTGTAAACCAGCTACAACCTCTACATGATCCAAAGAAAATCCCAAAGGTTGAACTAATGAAATTACTTCAGCACCACTTAATCCACTTCCAGAATTGTTATTAGCTGGAGGAAGTTGAATTGGAGTAGAAGGTTCTTTTTTTGTGTCAGAAAAGAGTGAAGAAAGTAGTTGACGATGATCATGGTCTTCTAATGGAGGAGTACGAGGCTTAGAAAAAAAATATCGAAATTATGTATAAGGAACATTCTGAGGGGTTTAACCGCCCCGTCATCAGTCTTTAGTAAAACTTACAAGGAGAGTTCGCGAGGTGTCCGACCTAAAAACGGTCGAGACCGGGCTCATTCGATAGAGAATGTGCCCTTTCTAGCAAGGATTTTTAGCCGTTTTTGCCCGTTTTTTGATTTGGCCAAGATATGGCCCTCCAAGTTAACTGAACAGATATCTATGCTTTGGCAATTAGCCGAAATCGAGAGCCAATCAAAACCGAAAACCAAAAGTAACGGTTTAAAAACTAGAATTAATTGATTACAATAGCTTCATTTATTAACAATCTTCACAAAACTTGAATTAACTTAAAAATTTTTTTTAAATACCCCCAATTCAGTTTTTAGTGTTGTACTGCTTGTAACTGAATTTGAACGCCCACCAATACCAAGTTTTTGACGAGAGAATTGTGAGAGACGTTCCTAAAAATAATTTTAAGAATTAAGAAAAAAAATATTGAAAATTAATATCTTTGTCCACTCTATAAAACCCAGTCTAAAAATTGTTTGGAAAACTAAAATTTTAATCAAATAAAAAAACAAACATCTAAACTCTGCCCAGAAGCTGAAACATTCACTGGATTTATATTGCCTATATGTGGCGTTAAAATTTTTGAAGTTGGCGCAGTTTCAGATTTGATTGAATTGCCGCTTGTATTGAATAAATTTGATTGTTGATAAAGTTGCATATCTGCTTTTTCACCTTTAAAAAATTTTTTAGTAAAAGACACACAAAATGCAGTTAGACCTAGGTATTAAATTAATCTTAAAGGGATTCCGAAAAAAAAGTTTCGGTATCAGATTGAAGATTTTAAAAGAGCAAACATTCCCTTTACCTATCCTTTTAAAATTTACATCGGAATTTAAGATTGCAAAAAGAAATTTTAAAAAAGTAAACCTTTAACTAAGCGCTCAACTTTTGCTGGTTCAACGTCTAAATTATAACGAAAAGTTTAAAAAATAAATAAAATCAAAACCTAATCCAGATGCTTGACATTTATTTAATATTGGTTCAATTACTTCATCGGCAAAGATTTGATGAGCTTGCCATAAATTAACAACACGTACAACTTTCAACTGAAAAATTTGCAGAATAGTTAGGAGATCTATTAAAAAAACAAATAGAAAAAGGAAAAAATAAATTGAGAGCAACCTCAAATGGACCAGTTTTCCCATTTATCCATAAATTTTTGTTCTTCTTTAATGCTTGGAATTGTTGCCCAAGCAAGCTTTAGAAAAAATTTTTATTAAATAAAATCAAATAAAAAACCTTTATATTCTTCTTCAAAACTTGAATTGTCTTCCCCATTCTATCAATAATTTTAAAAGCCAATTTTCTATCAGGCATTGTCACATAAGCACAACCACGTGTATTAACAATGATTATTTTTTCTGGTGTTCCAATTTCTTTTACAGATTCAATAATATCATTTTCATTAGCTGATGTAGGAATACGGCCAAACCATAAAGTTCGAGATGCAACTAACAAAATAAGTTTTTCAAGAAAATTAATTTTTTTATTAAATTTTTAAATATTGTTTCAGTTAAGGTTATTTTTTAAAGGGAAGGTTATTGTTTCACATGGATTCTTAACTAGTAGATACATATATTGGGGAATATTATGGAAAATCACTATAACCCGCAATAAATCCCTATTCACAGTTAATCCCTTCCCCTCGAAAACTATTCATTTTTAAAGCGGACTAAACTCATCGAGTCTTTTTTATTAAAATAAAAATCCTTACTGAGAACGTGTTCAAATTTCAGTTTTTCGGGTAATCCCATACGTCTACGATCTCTCATCATTTGTTCACGATCCTTTTCTTTGTCGCTATTGCGTTCACGATCATCTGAAAAATATTGCTTTTTAAATAAATTCAGAAAAAATACTTTTTCTTGGTGATGTGCTTCGAGTTCTTTTATGTGAGGATCTTTCAGATCTTTCATCATTCTCTCGTCTTCGATGAGATGATGATTTTTCGTCATGTCGTGTTGAATCATTATCACGTCTAGAACTGCGACTTTTTTCATCAACTGGTGACCTGTTTAAAAATTTAAAAAATTAGTTATTCATCCTTGTGTTATCCCCAAGTATACTCTATCTTTAGTCTAATCATTAAACCCCTTCCCTATTCCCTTACCATCGACTCCGTTTCCGTGAAGACCCACTAGCGCGGCTGTCCCTTCTGTCACCTCTAGAATAATCGTTTCGATCATTGCGGTAGTTTTCAGCTTCTTTTCTATCGTCCCGGTGCGTTTGTTGTTGTTGTTGTGGAAATTGCTGCGTTGACATCGGAAACATTGAAGTCGGTGTAGTTAGCTGAAAATTGGCAATAGACGAAGTTGGAGGCTTTAAAAAAAATTCTAAATAAAAATATTTTTATAAAACCTGGAGGAATAAACCAGGAAAAAGAGTTCCGTTTGAAAAGCTTGGCGGTGGAAAAGAAAAGTTAGGCATTGGAAAAGTCAATGGTTGTTGTAGTTGTAGTTGAGGAGTGGCCATTTTTGCAGCCGGTGAACCAATGCCAACATCTTTATTTACACAAGCCACCAATTTTCTCATTTCTTAAAAAATTATTTTTCAGATTTGACAAAAACAAAAAATAATTTTATAAAATAATTAGTATACTTGAAAGAATTTTTTAAATCCTTTTAAAAATTTAAATAGAAAAGTCGACCCGTAATCCGTGGACTGTTTTAAAGTGTGTAAATAAAAAGGATTAACTCATAAAACCCCAAAACAAATATGAGGGACACTCACAAAATGTGAGAAAATCTATTGTCAATATTTAACCCAGACCTCGAGAATAAAAAGTTATAATGTTCAAGGTTTTAGCTCTACTTAGAGTTAGTGAATGTCACTTGCTAATAATAAAAATAAAAAGGAAAAACCTTCTTGATGTGCTGGTTCAGCAACCACCGATCTTGCAAGATTTAAAAGTTTTTCTTTAGAAACACTTGAAAGGGTTATGGGTGACCCTGTCGATGTGTGTGTACCATTGTGATGATGACCACCTCCACCGCCTTCATCTTCTTCATCAGAATAGTCAAAATCTCGAGACAGGAGATTCTTTAAAATAAAGGAAATTTTTTGTTCAACAAATTCATTTTTAGAAGAAATTTCAAAAAAACTAATCAATGTGAGAAAAATCGAAAATGTTTTAACGATTTTGGGAATTTCCAAAAGAATCAAAAAAATATTTTTTAAGAAGGGATAACATGGACTTAAGTTCTGAAGCAAATAGAGATAGTTAAGGAATCCTTCCGTTAAAAAAATGTTTGACCATACTTGGTTATCAAAAAAGGTCCTTTTTAAATTCCCAAATTAAAATTTCCAAACCTTAATATTTCCTTGTCTCCTCTTTTCCATTTCAATTTGTTCAATAACTCTTTCTTCCAGAAATCTTTGTAAACCAGCTACAACCTCTACATGATCCAAAGAAAATCCCAAAGGTTGAACTAACGAAATTACTTCAGCACCACTTAATCCACTTCCAGAATTGTTATTAGCTGGAGGAAGTTGAATTGGGGTAGAAGGTTCTTTTTTTGTGTCAGAAAAGAGTGAAGAAAGTAGTTGACGATGATCATGGTCTTCTAATGGAGGAGTACGAGGCTTAGAAAAGAAATAAAAAAAATATTGAAATCGTGTTAAACAAGGTTTAACACCCCGTTATCGACTTTTGGAAGAACTTATTAACATGAAGGCTCAATGGTAACGGTCGGTTAACTGAACCGAAACCAATGTTATGGCAATTAGCCGAAATCGAGGGTCCATCAAAATCGAAAACCAACAGCTTAATTTATTAACAATCCTCGCAAAATTTTAATTAACTAAAAAATTTTAAATACCCCCAATTCAGTTTTTAGTGTTGTACTGCTTGTAACTGAATTTGAACGTCCACCAATACCAAGTTTTTGACGAGAGAATTGTGAGAGACGTTCCTAAAAATAATTTTAAAAATTATGAAGAGGAGAGAGATTGAAAATAAAAATCACAAAATTACTAAATTAATTATTCAAAAATTAGTATCTTTGTTGCCCTTCTATGAACCCCAGTTTAAAACTAAAAAAAATAAAAAACAAACATCTAAACTCTGCCCAGAAGCTGAAACATTCACAGGATTTATATTTCCTATATGTGGCGTCAAAATTTTTGAAGTTGGTGCAGTTTCAGATTTGATTGAATTACCGCTTGTATTGAATAAATTTGATTGTTGATAAAGCTGCATATCTGCTTTTTCACCTTTAAAAATTTTTTAGTAAAAGACACTTAAACTGTAGTTATCCCTAGTATTAAACTGATCTTAAAGGGATTCCAAAAAAGTTTCGGCATCAGATCGAAAATTTTAAACAAGCAAACATTCCCTTTACCTATCCTTTTAAAATTTACATCGGAATTTAAGATTGCAAAAAGAAATTTAAAAAAAGTAAACCTTTAACTAAGCGCTCAACTTTTGCTGGTTCAACGTCTAAATTATAACGAAAGTTTAAAAAATAAATAAAATCAAAACCTAATCCAGATGCTTGACATTTATTTAATATTGGTTCAATTACTTCATCAGCAAAAATTTGATGAGCTTGCCATAAATTAACAACACGAACAACTTTCAACTAAAAAATTTGCAAAATATTAGGGTCGTAAAAAGTTGATAGAATAATGGAACAGAAAAGGGAAAAAACAAATGGGAAAACCCTCCAAAAAGGCATGTCGACCAAAACAAAGAAATTAGGGAAAATGTCGCACTCACACAAAATTTTTTGAATTTAATGATTGGTGTCGGTTTTAAAAAAGTCAAAAACTAGTGAAAAATGACGGGATTTTTCTGAAAAATTGTTCACCTTTTATAAAAAAAACTACAAAAAAAATTTAAGTGAAAATGATCTAGAAAAGGATTTCTTTTCTTAAATTTTTGTAAAAAATTTAAAAAATACTCTGTCAGTAGGATCACAATCGAGCACATTATTAATCGTAGTAGACAAATTAACAGCAAATCTGGGTGCAAAAACATCTAAAAATTAAATCTTTTAAAGTTTAGAACAGCCAAAAAAAACCTTTGTGTTTATATTGCTTTTTTGCTTGACGTAAAATTGAATCCATAACATATAAAGCGGGGATTTTGAATTCTTGGCGACACTAAAAAAAGAAATTTTTTATTAAAATTTAATAATACTAACAAAGGAATTTAATGGGAACAACTTAAAGATTAATAGCCAGAGAATAATTTGCGGATTATATTTGCGGATAAAATTTTTAGTTAAAATATCAAACAATATCTCAAGTAATGAAAGTCCCAATAAGTAGAAATAGAGTTAGTTCTAGGCTTTTTCGTGTTCCAAGTATCCAGACTAGAAAAATATTGAGTATCATAAGTTTCCCCTAGCCTCCTAAAATTTTGCTAGATCCAGTGAATTCAAAAATTGGTCCAAGCTCACGGACTTTAGTAATCTCGATTTTTATCAAACAAAGAACACTTAACTAAAAATCTTATAACGTTAACAAACTCATGTCAGTTTTAACTAGTCTAATTAAAAAACTAGCAAAGATCGTCAACTCTTCTAAAAAATTCCCCCAAAAAATTTTTTTAGTTTACCTTAACCAAATATCGTTCAACAATAAAAACAACATGTTTAAAATATCTGACAGCATTCATTGCAGCCTTTGTAATATCAACAACTTTTTGTTTGCTAACAATACCTCCTTTACATTCTTGCATTGAAACGAGCTTTAAAATAAAACTTCGTAAAAATTTTTTTATAAATTTAGGTATACCAATTTATTAAAAGCCTTAATTACGTCTGAATCCATTGAAGAATCTTTTACCTAAATAAAATATGTCTTTTAGACTAACTGAAAATGAAGAAAAGAATAACAAAATTTACAGAAACACTTGAAAATAGAGATCGGAACGGGTCTCCCGGACCCGCTTCCCGGTTTTCGGGTCCCTTTTCCCGGTTTTTTAGAACCAACCGGGATGAAACCGGGAACGGGAATTCCCGGTTTTCCCTATCCGAGTCCCTCCCGGTCAAATTTCATAACCCGTTTCCCGTTTCCCGGGCACGGTCCCGGTTTTTTCAAAATTCCGATCTCTACTTGAAAAACCGTAAACTAAGAAATTTTTTTCCGAAAAAAACTTAAAAATAAATCCATTTCGCCAAATTAATAATGCCAAAATACACTTCGCCAAACAAAATTTCGCCAAAACAAACAAAAATAAATCAATCGCTACGTCTCAATTTGGTCCACTGAACTAAATTCTCAATTCGTCCTACTAATTAATAGGCCCCCCTTTGGATAGTAAATTTAATGAGTAGAATTCGGCGATGGTTCTAATTATGATAAAATATTGTCTAATATTTTATTATTCTTAATCTGTTAGCTAATTTTAGAGACTTTTATAGAAGTCTTTCAAGAGATTTTAAGATTAAAACATTACCTTCAGTCTCTTTTTCTAAATTCACTTGTCAAATTTATTTACAACAATTATTCTCTATACAGCCCTCACAATTAGAATACCCCCTATATTAGATAAACCTCAGATTTTTGATTTGGTATGTCACTGGGTGTGTGTAGGGGAGTGAAGAGTTTCCAAACTCATAACCCTCTTTAGGACTTTCTCATTATAAAATATAATCTTTTAACCACAAGTGTTTATCTTATATAGGGTTGGGGGCCCGGTCCGGTCCAAAAGATCAAGTCGTGCAATGAAGTTGGGCCCGAAAAAGCCCTCGCCGAAGAAGCCCCCCCCCCCCCCCGGTCCAGCCGGCCCGATAAAAATGAAGCCCGAAAAAATGACTAGAACGTTGGCCCTACTCGAAAACGGCAACTCTAACCTTATAAAGAGATCAGAATAAATAATACTCAAAAATTGCTTTTAAATTTTACCTGCCCACAAAAAGGAAGACTCAAATGCGTACAAAAACTTAAATAACGCAAAAATTGATCAACACGGTGACATAACCATTCACCAATAATTAAAGCCATAACTGGACCTAACGTTTCTTTGCTTATTGCAAAGACGATAAAGTTAGCACAAAATTCAAAAGAATAATTAACAATTGGGAGTAAATGTTCGTACTGAAAAAATAAAAATTTTTAAAATTTTAGGGATTAAATGAGTTGGGGAGTTGCCTAATAAGCGATACCATCAATTTGAGATACAACTCATTATGAATTACAGAGTCTGTTCGTACAGAAAAAAGAAAAGATTAAGCTAAAAATTAAAAAATTTTGGGATTAAATGTCACTAAATTAGCGGGGAATTGCCTAACAATGAGCGACTTTTTCAGTCTAAATAAAATATCATACCAAATTATATTTTTCGGGACCAAAAATAAAACCTTCCACCAATTCAGAAACAATTTGTTCAGCATAACTACGTTTTAATTCATCACTGGTTACCTTGAATGAAATGGTAAATAATTTTTTAATTTAAATAATTTTTTTGATTTTCAGTTACAAGAGACCATACTACCAAACTTTTGCCAAAAAAAACTTTGGAGGGCCATATCCTAGCCAGATCAAAAAACGGGCAAAAACGGCACAAAATCCTTGCTAGAAAAAGCACATTCTCTATCGAATGAGACCGGTCTCGACAGTCTTTAGGTCGGACACCTTGCAACCTTCCCTTGTAAAGGACTTGTCTTACTATTCTAAAGTGTCAACTCTTCATTTTATAATTAAGAATGGTCTCTCCTAATTTTATGACTAAAAATCTAAATTAAAAATTTCTTTAAAAAATACTTTTCCAAGCCATTGGCCAACATGGTCAAACAATCCATACACAGGAAATTGGGCAGCTAGTGAACAAATTTTGATCAGAAATTGAACACGAGCTTCGTGAAGTAAAGGCTATAAAAAAGGAGGGAATAATAAAAATAATTTTCGAAAAATAAAACCTCTCCCTCACGACCACAAAAAATAATATCAAAATGTAAATAACGAAGTTTTGGATCGGCTTCTTTTGAGACTTCCTGAATAAATTTGAATAAGAGTGGAATATAAATTTATAAAAATCACAAGGAAGTAATAAAGGGAAAACGAAAGGAATCGAACTGACGTCTCCGATATGTCATCAAGAGCAGGCCAATTTACCACAAAACAGGCCCATAACCAGGATTTTTCAGAGAAGGGGGCCAAGAAGGGGAAATTTTTCTGCGCCGAATTTTTGGCGTCGAAAGCCCAGAAATTTTGATTTTTGTCGCCGAGTCGAAAATTTTAAAAAATTTGGAAGGCCGTAGGTAATCTTTCTCACTAAAACCTCCCTCAAATAAAAATTAAAAAACAACCTTATCAAAATAATTACAAACAATTCCCAACAATTTAAAACTTTGTAAAGGATTGAGACGAGAATTTCTCAAGTCTGTAGACAAACAAAAAAGATCTTGATCCAACAAATTTTGTAATTCTTTTATTTTTACACGATTCCAGCTTTTATTTGGAAATTGGCCGTGTTGTTTGACAAAATCGCCGACCTAAAAATGAAATTGAAAATCCTCAAAACTATTAGAAAGAGCTCTTAAAGTTGAGTCAAACACAACAAAAAATAAGAGAAAATCAAAATTCAATGACCAATTTATCCAAACAAAAACAGGGAATTTTCAAGTTTATAGGTCCTATATTTATGGGTCCAAAAAAAGAGAAAAAACATGAAATCTCTACATAATATACAAAAAGGATGAGATTTCAGGTACTCAACTCATACAAAGCCCTTTCAAATGAGTTAATATTTAATAATAAAAAATACATGAACAAGAACATCATTTGCACACTGCGGAAAAATAGCCTGTTTATTCCCAGGAGGTATTTGTTGCTGCGGTTGTTGTTGAGGAATAGAAGGACCAGGAGGAATTTGTTTAGGATGTGGCAAACGCTGTTAAAGATTTAAGATTTAAAAAATAAAAAGAAAATAACAAATGTAGGGGAAAGTATAATAAATTATATAGTAGGGGAAATTTTTTTAAAAACCCCCAAGATTTAAAGAATAATAAGTCGTCAAGGCCCTCAAGTAAAATATCAAAAAAACATCCGCTCAAAAACAGATGGTTTTCAAACAATAAGCTTCGAAAGTTTGACAATTCGTAATATGAATTTCACAGGATTCACGAACCCTATTTCTGAGCAGGACCAAAGTTGATCAAAAACATAGGTTCCCTTCTCGGAAGCGAAAATTAGCTAAATTATCAATTCATTGGACTTTCTCAAATTTATTTAAAAAAATTTAAATTATTCTAAAAAATTTTTCCTACAAATACCCCCATAATTTCCAAAAAATATTCAAAAAAAATACATGTTGAACTTGCCCAACCCCTCTATGTTGTTGTTGATGCTGCAAATGATGTCTCGGTTGATGCATTAAATGAGGCCTTTTCATTGGAGGTCTACCAGAATTATTTGAATTATTTCCGTGCATATTTTGACAATTTGAAAGTGGTGGAGGTTGAAAAAGTTGAGAATTCAAAGGCTTTGGCTGATTATTTTGAAAGAAACATTTTTGCTGAAAAAATAAATGAAAAAATAAAAAATCGGTAATGAAATCCCTAAGGCTCTATTTCAGATAGGGCTTAATTCAAAGAGGTCTAATTTAGTAAATACCGTCATTTACTGGGGACACGCCCAAAACGGCGCTCGGCCATAACGGCGTAAAGCCATAGCTTGCTTCAAAATAACTAATTTTAATAGATTTAGTATCAAACGATTCCTCTGATCAAACTATGTAGGTAATTTGTACCAAAATTGACAAGGGCCAGACATTTTTCAGCAAGTTATGGCTTTACGCCGTTATGACCGCGCACCGTTTTGGGCTGTACTCCATCTACTGGCCATAAGATCAAAAAAGAAAAACCTGAAAACTCGGTTGTTGAAACAAAACTTGTTTTGTGTTTGTAGAAGCACAAATTTGTTTGGCAATATTTTCTTGACTTAAAGAAGCCAGGGAATCGATCTTTTGGTTTTGTTGTTTATTCAGATTTAATTCAATATTATTAATTGATGGAAGCAAAATTTCATCCAGTTTAATTTCTTCTAATTTTTGTTGCGCCTCAATGACTTTTGGTTTTTCTTCAATATGATATTTGTATCTTTTTCGTTTTTTAAATTTTGAGGGTCGGCTAGTTGTTGGAGAATTAGAGTTACTAGCAAGTCTGAAAAAAATTTTTTTTAATCATAAAAAATTTTTTAAAAATTTTTTTGAAAAAAACACAACGCCAAAAAATATTTTTTTGAGAAAAATCGAAGGATAGAGTAAAGGAAAAGAATAAAAATTATTTCAACATTTTTACAATAACCAAAAATTTATTTTTGTAAATTTTATTAATGTAAATTCCGATACATATTTTTAGAAAATAAAATAATGAATTAAAATTAAAAAAAGATTACTTTCGAAACAAAAGAAAGTTAAAAACTTCTTTCCGAGGCATTTTAAGACCAAAAAAAATTCTGATTTTTCATAAAACAAATTTCTGATATTTCTAAAAATTCTAATCCTTTCTGAGTGGACAATTTCGAATAAATCAGAAAATATTCCGGAGAAACCAGGGTTCCCCTAATTTTCTTCCCAGTTTTTTCCTTATTTTGTACAGAATGGTCAGACTCTCTTCCTCAATTTCTCTTCATTTCCCCGTGGCATATTCAATAAAGAAAAGATTAAATTAATGAGGGAAGAGAGGCTGGCTATTCTTCACAAAATAAGGAAAAACCTTGAAACTTGGGGAATAAAAAAAGTGGAACCCTTAGTCTACCCAATATTCTGAAAAAATCTAAAGAAAATTCTGACTTTACAAATACATTTCTAAAAATCTCTAGTTTACTTTCAAAAA